GCATGAGACGGCTCAGTGCAGCAGTGGCAGGGGAGGAGTAGCGTGCAACTACAGCGTCGTACAAGGTCTGAGCACTCTTGCACTGACTAAAGTGTGCACGCTCGGAGGTAGGGAGGTGGCGACGCACAGCAAGACGTGCAGCAGCGTCGCGCGTGGCCCACTGGGAACGAACAGTGGCGTCAGCATCAGCAGTAGGGGCAGGGGACGCGCCAGAGGTGAGGTCAAAGAGAGAGAGATCGTCTTCCCTATCGCACTATAAGAACAGCTGTAGATTATCTACCCAGACCTCGAAGTCAATGGCCTGACCCTCAGCGTCAAAAGCTAGGACACTAGGGGTAGCCATGAGGACAGTAGACTAGTAGTGCAAGCAATAGGGTGAGGGCAGTGCAGTGAAAGAGGGACTGTGCTCACCAGACGAGGCAGCTCACGCAGGTCGGAAGTAGGGCGGCTCGGCGGCTCGGCTACGGAGCGGCTCGGCGGCTCGGCTGCAGGACGGCTCGGCTGCTAGGCGGCTCGGCTGCTGGGCGGCTCGGGTGCTGGGCGGCTCGGCTGTAGGACGGCTCGGTTGCTGGGCGGCTCGGCTGCTGGGCGGCTCGGCTGCAGGGCGGCTCGGCTGCTGGGCGGCTCGGCTGCTGGGCGGCTCGGCTGCTGAGTGGCTCGGCGGCTCGACTGTCCGGCTGTTCCGGTGCCCGGGCGGCTCGGTGGTGCTGCTGCAGGGCGGCAGGTGAGAGGCGGCGAGGCCGCATGAGTAGGGCGGCAGAGGCCGCAGTAAGGGCGGCGAGGCCGCAGCAGAGTAGGGCGGCGACGGGCCTCTGAGGGGCGGCAGCAGGCCGCTGTAGAGGAGGCGGCGACGGGCCGCTTGAGGGCGGCGGTGGGCCGCTGCGGAAAGGGCGGCGGCGGGCCGGTTTAGGGCGGTGACGGGCCGCCGTAGAACGGGCGGCGGGGGGCCGCTTTAGGGCGACGGCGGGCCGCCGCGGAAAGGGCGGCGGTGGGCCGCTTTAGGGCGGCGGCGGGCCGCTGCGGAAAGGGCGGCGGCGGGCCGCTTGAGGGCGGCGGTGTGCCGCTGCGGAACGGGCGGCGGCGGGCCGGTTTAGGGCGGTGACGGGCCGCTGCAGACTGGGCGGCGGTGGGCCGCTTTAGGGCGGCGGCTGGTTGCGAAAACATTGTTTAGTAACAATCTCGTCAAGTTATGGAGTGATCGCGGGTTACAGCGCGGATTACACCGCGGGTTACAGGTCAAGTTACGAATCGGGTTACCAGCCTGGGTTACAGCTCGTGTTACAACTCGGGATACCAGCCATAGCGATACTCCCATCCTGACTTCTCTCCAATTCAAGAGTCATGTTTTGCGCTCGTTTATAACGCGTACGGCCTGCGCCTCGACCAATTACACGTCGACAATCACGCTCGACTCCTGGTGGGTCCCCGCTTCTCGCGGCGGCAAACCTGCGTGCCTTCCGCCGCAATTCTCGCCAAACCGCCTCTGTTACTGCTCCACGGCTTAGGCGAGTCTTCTTTAAACCCACTGGATCAACCAGGTCGCCGCGTTTCCCCTCCATTTCGATCTCTACATCCCCGACCTCCTGTTCTTCCGCGGCTCGTACTTCTGCGATTCGCAGCGCGACGAGCTGTTCCAGGCGGAAGCAATGATCGCGGCTGATGGTCGGCGAGAATCATCGCTCACAGGTACGTCATGTTAGGGTTGGTTCGCCCAACCACGGAACCTAAGACGAAAGCATCTACGAGGGCGGAATGACGGCGAAATGGAAGCGCGTGTGTGAAACGGTGGAAATCGGCCTACGATGGGGAATAGAGGCTACGGCGTGAGAAGCGGGAGAGAAATCGAGAAGAAATGTGCTAGAAGGAGGGAGAGAGAAGGAGAAGCATCGAGAATGAGATTGACGAGGGGAAAAATGTGCTTCGAGACCAAGGCGCGTTCGAGAATGTTCGGGATTCGGTCTTGAGGAATGTTCACCGAATTCGGTTCAGTTGTGTGTGCGACTCGGGGTGAAACGAGGCGCACGCGGTTACTTGGGAAACAAGTGAAGTTACGAATCGCATTTTGTGTCTTGCCTGACTATAAAACTGCTTGTACTCATTCTGGAAATGATACCAATCAGATTCTGAAAATTGTTGAATTGTGTATTGACAACTTCAAGCAGAGTTGCGCATATTATTGGATTCGGGAGATCGTGGAGAACACGATAAGCAATAGCAAGTAGACTATCGCCGACTAAGGCGTTTACGATCCTAAGAACTGGTATCAAAGCTTGACGAATAGGCGCGTCGATCGTCGCGAATTCACTTGGTGCGCTAAGTGAATTTAGGGGAGAAGAGGAGTCGTTCACGCCTACGCTATGGGAGACGAGGCGAGTTCGGGTTCCAGTGTGAGTCTTGGAGACCCGTAGTTGAAGGCTCTTCTCGAGGCCCTTGCGAGTGGCCGATTGGTGGCGAAACCGACGATCGGGCTCAGTGAAGCTCAGCGCTTCAATGGAAGCAACTACAACGTGTGGCGAAAGAAGTTCATTCGAAGGGCAGAGGAGGTGGACCTCTTGCCGTACTACCGTCTCGACGAGGAGACGATGGAGGGAGTTGCGCCTTCCACGACGGATACGAGGGAGAAAATAGCGGCGTTCAAAAGCAAAGTAAGCAAGCGTTCTTTCAGCTTTGTCATTCAGTTGCCGATGGAATCGCGGTGGATTTGGACCAGTTTGCAGGGGAGCTGAACCCTGCACAGCTAGCGTGGGAGTACCTGGAGTCCACATACATGGGTACGAACGATGTCAACAAGAAGGCGATCAGGAAGCAACTGCTGACGCTGAGCATGGAGAAAGGCGAGAAAATCATCACCTACATGAACAGGGCCAAAAGCTACAACGACGATTTGTGGGTGATGGGAGCCGCGGAGACGGAGCACGAGATGATTGACTATATCATCCAAGGACTTCCTAAAGAGTGGGAATCCCACATCGGTATGTTTACGTACCAACCGTCGGAGAGTTTGATGAAGCTGCAGGAGATTCTGCAGTCGCTTGAGATGGTGAAGGAGATGAGGAAAAAGAAAGTAGCAGCAGCAGCTAATGAATTCGACGAGGAGAGGCCGGGTATGGTGAATGCCACGAAGGCATTTGGAGCATGCTACCAGTGTGGAAAGAGGGGGCATAATGGGATAAACTGCTACGAAAATCCTCGAAGCAGAAACTACAAGGGCAAAGCTGTGGGGAATGATAAAGGAGAGAATGCAGGAGCGGAGTGGCATCAGAAACGAGGTTTTGGCGGCAAGTGTGATTATTGTGGGCGCTACAGGCATCGTGCCGTAGAGTGCTATTCCAACCCGAATAGCATGAGCTACAAGGGTCCGTCGCAGCAGATGAATGTGGTGACAAAGGCGAATGTAGTGGAAGCTGAAATGGAGGATGTGGTTTTGGGAGGAGCGCATCTCGCGAACGTGGTGCGTTTACCAATGGAGGTTCGGCAGACGGACGGACGTGAGAAGACGACATGGTTCATGGACAGCGGATGCACGCGTCACATGACATTCAGGTCAGATTGGATGGAGAATGTGAGGGAGTTGAGTGAGGATTATATACTGCAAGGTAACAGTGGAAAGTTACCAGTGATAGGAGAGGGTGACGTGGTGCTGAAGAGTCCGTATGGAGAGGTGAAACTGGAGAGTGTGCTGCTGGTTGAGGATTTAAAGGTGAACCTGGTCAGTCAGTCACAGCTTGATGACTTGGGGTGCAAGATATTTTATGACAGAGGCGAGGTTACTGTGTTTGGTTCTGAGTGGGAGAAGTACGCGGATGGTTACTTCAGTGACGGGTTCTATGAGATGAACTTGGGGGCGATGAACAATAAGGATGAGATCTATGAGGATCCTGAGTCCACTGAGGATGATGAGAGTGAGGACTCGGATGAGATGGCTGCGAGTGTGGAGGCAGCAGTGAAGCAGGAAGAGGAGATAGTGATCACGGAGGCAGCAGCAGTAAACGGTGGAGATGGAGACGATGTCAACACTTTTGCAGCAGCGATCGTGGTTGAAGACGAAGAAGTAAATGCGAAGTGTGTGGGAGTTGAAGCTGTGAAAGGGGACACCATGGTGAAAGGATTAAAGGCGAATGCAACTGCAAAGGGGCAAGTGCTTAAGGAGGATGAACGCGTTGAAGGGTACGAGACCCGAGAGGTGTTGATTGTAAAGATGCCGAGGAGACGTGAGGGGCTTAAGAAAACCTCTCATGGTTTGGATGTCAAGGCGCTCAACTTCAAGACACGTAAGCAGAGGTTCAAGGTGCAGGAGCTGCAAGGGAGCGTGAAGCCGACTTAGACCCTGTGAAGGCTACAAGGAGCAGGAGAGCAGTGCGAGTGGAGTTTGTGGTTGACGAACAACAGGGGAGATTGTTAGGGTTGGTTCGCCCAACCACGGAACCTAAGGCAAAAGCATCTACGACGGCAGAATGACGGTGAAATGGAAGCACGTGTGTGAAACGGTGGAAATCGGCCTACGATGGGGAATAGAGGCTACGGCGTGAGAAGCGGGAGAGAAATCGAGAAGAAATGTGCTAGAAGGAGGGAGAGAGAAGGAGAAGCATCGAGAATGAGATTGACGAGGGGCGCGTTCGAGAAAGTTCGGGATTCGGTCTTGAGGAGTGTTCACCGAATTCGATTCAGTTGTGTGTGCGACTCGGGGTGAAACGAGGCGCACGCGGTTACTTGGGAAACAAGTGAAGTTACGAATCGCATTTTGTGTCTTGCCTGACTATAAAACTGCTTGTACTCATTCTGGAAATGATACCAATCAGATTCTGAAAATTGCTGAAGTCTGTATTGACAACTTCAAGCAGAGCTGCGCATATCATTGGATTCGGGAGATCGTGGAGAACACGATAGGCAATAGCAAGTAGACTATTGCCGACTTAGGCGTTTACGATCCTAAGACGTGAGCTAGTCAAATGCTGTTGTGCATGCGGTCTACTGTCGAGTCACTTCGTCGTGACTTGCGCCTACCACCCCACCTCTCCTCCCCCTTGGTCCCCCTTGATCCCGTTCTCTTCCCCACGTGTTTCCCGGTTAGTGCTGGGAGGGGCGGGGCGGCGCAGCACTGGCACGCCAAGACACCCCCGCACCTCTTCCTGCCCACCGGGCCTAGAGGCCTGCTTCGGCTGATTAGGCTCGGGAACAACGAGGCGCCTACCCTCCGGGATCGGTAACCGATTCAAGTAGAAAAACCATAAACTTGTGAGAACCATCAAAGGTTAAAGTAGTGAATTGTATGTGTGGTGCATGCGGTGCTGCGTGTGCATGCATGGGTGCCTGACGCAGGTGTTGTTTGAGAACAGGGTTGAGAACAGGTGCTGTTGGGGACATCGTTGAGAGATGCACAGGACAGGCCAATGCAGAAACACATGGGGATATCGCTGTGCCGCCAATGGTATGCTGAGAAGTGCAAAGCGGTGGTGTCCAGTGGTGTGCTGTGCAGTGCGGTGCTATGAGGCGGAGTGCATGGGGGTGATTTGTGCATTGCGGATGTGAGGAAGTAAGCAACGAACTATGCATTTTCGAGGCTGCATATTCTCCTTATCATCGTTCTCTTTCTTATCGCTCTCTTTCTCATCATTCTCTTTCTGATCATTTTCATTATTATCACTTTTTTTTTTAACACTCTCTTCCTTATCACTCTCTATCATATCCCAACCACTGCACAGCCCACCCTGCTAGTGTGGTGAGGCAGCGCCAGCTCTTCCCCCTTGCCATCGCATGCACCAGCAAGCCTCCCTCTCCCTCCCTCCTCCCTCCCTCCCTCCCTCCCTCCCTCCCTCCCTCCCTCCCTCCCTCCCTCCCTCCCTCCCTCCCTCCCTCCCTCCCTCCCTCTCTCGAATGGTCCTTTGTATTTATATCACCAAGGTACACACAGGATAAAGCAGCAAACCACACACAGCACAGCTACTGTATGATTGCAAACCTTATGTGCACACACATACACACATTCACACGCGCACGCATGCACGCACTCTCGTACCCACATACGCACTAACGCACATGCACATGCGCACGCAGCAGCTAAACACACAGATACCTCTTGGTTCTCCCCTTGGTTCTCCCCTTGGTTCTCCCCTTGGTTCTCCCCTTGGTTCTCCCCTTGGTTCTCCCCTTGGTTCTCCCCTTGGTTCTCCCCTTGGTTCTCCCCTTGGTTCTCCCCTTGGTTCTCCCCTTGGTTCTCCCCTTGGTTCTCCCCTTTGTTCTCCCCTTTGTTCTTGACTTTCTTCTCCCCTTTCTTCTCCCCTTTCTTCTCCCCTTTCTTCTCCCCTTTCTTCTCCCCTTTCTTCTCCCCTTTCTTCTCCCCTTCCCCTTGTTCTCCCTGAAAAGGGCGTTCATGCCTTTCACGTGTGGCAGCTGTGATAAGGGGCGTGCGTTTGTCTGTGCATGTCTGCTTCTTATCACATCGATCTTTCCCATCTCTCCTCCCCATGCAATATCGAACATCCCATTCTTGCTTAACGCAAGCATTCCCACCTCTTTCAACAGCACATCTCAACCGCTTAAGCTCTTTCAACCTCTCATGCTCGTTCAACCCATGCCATCCTCCTGCAACCACGTCCCTCGCCCATCCTGCCATCCTCCTACAACCACTTCCCTCGCCCATCCTGCCATCCTCCTGCAACCGCTTCCCTCGCCCATCCTGCCATCCTCCTGCAACTGCTTCCCTCGCCCATCCTGCCAGGCGCACAATGCAGCTGTGCTCAACGGCGCCGCCCTCTCCTTCCTCGCCCAGCATCAGTGACGTCACCAACCAACCATCTGCCGCTGCCCTGACCACTGCAGTCCCCCAACAGCTCCATGATTCAACAATATTTTCCTCCTCTCTCACCAACCATCTATCCCAAAGGTGGTGGGCGAGGAAGGAAGGAAGCAAGCAGGAAGGCTATCGGCTGCCCGCCTGCCATCCCCGGACAGAGTTGAACTGCGCTGGCAGCACTGGCAACCGCTACTCGGGGCAAGGTAATTTTCGTGTACATTATTATGTTGCGATGCACTTAGCTATAGCCCAATTGGGGCAGCATATGTTGGTCAGTGCAAAATTGAAATGCCTTCCCCGTTTGCACTCTGTGCCCATCACCCTCGTCCTTCCTTCCTCCCCTTCGGCTCTCGTAAAAGTGTAATTGGTGTTTTCTTCTTCTTCTGTCTTTGTCTTGTTTGCCGTTGTAACCTGTGTGCGGCACAGGGGGAGCAGGAGTAGGACCTAAGGAATGGATTGGAATGGAAGTAACAAGGCGGACCAGAAGAGTGAAGAGGGCAGCGGCATGCACCGTCCCTCTCTCCATGCTCCTCCCCTCTCTCCATGCTCCTCCCCTCTCTCCATGTGCCCTGCCGGCTGTCGTGCGTTGAGGCCATGGCTGCTGCGCTCAACATCTGGTGGGTGCAACTCACTGCACGCACTGCACACGTGGTGGGTGCTGTTCATGAGTTTAGGGGGAAGCACCGTATGCACGCTGGGTGCTTGCACCACTAAGCATGCGTGGTGGGTGCGCCATGGGGTGGGTATGTCGTGGTGGTGGGTATGTCGTGGTGGGTGCTGTTCATAAGTGTAGGGGGATGCACCGCACAGATGCTTGGTGCAACGAACACATGCTGGGTTCTTCATACCTGTGGTAATCATGTGGTATGTGGGCTTTTGTTAAATTTTTGCCCATTTCAGCTTCCTCATGCTCTTCAATTTAATAAGGTTCTTTCTCCGCATCTCATCCCCATTCAACTGTTTTTGCGTGTGCGCCATGTCATTTGTACTAAAATCTCCCCCCTCTCCATGCATCTCCCCACCATGGACCAGTGCGGACGGGGCGGAGGTGATAGCGGCACAGCACAGGTGGATGGAGAGGGAGGCGGAGCTTGCACAGGCCAGACCATGCCGGCACAGATGTGCCTTCCCCAGGTGATGCACAGATGTGCCTTCCCCAGGTGATGCACAGATGTGCCTTCCCCAGGTGATGCACAGATGTGCCTTCCCCAGGTGATGAACAGATGTGCCTTCCCCAGGTGATGCACAGATGTGCCTTCACAGATTGCATGGATGTGCCTTCACATGGTGCATCGATGTGCCTTCACATGGTGCATGGATATGCCTTCACAGGTTGCATGGATGTGCCTTCACATGGTGCATCGATGTGCCTTCACATGGTGCATCGATGTGCCTTCACATGGTGCATGGATGTGCCTTCACATGGTGCATGGATGTGCCTTCACATGGTGCATGGGTGTGCCTTCACATGGTGCATGGATGTGCCTTCACATGGTGCATGGATGTGCCTTCACATGGTGCATCGATGTGCCTTCACATAGTGCATGGATGTGCCTTCACATGGTGCATGGATGTGCCTTCACATGGTGCATCGATGTGCCTTCACATGCTGCATCGATGCGCCTTCACATGGTGCATGGATGTGCCTTCACATGGTGCATCGATGTGCCTTCACATGGTGCATGGATGTGCCTTCACATGGTTGCATGGATGTTCCTTCACATGGTGCATGGATGTGCCTTCACATGGTGCATGGATGTGCCTTCACATGGTGCATGGATGTGCCTTCACATGGTGCATCGATGTGCCTTCACATGGTGCATCGATGTGCCTTCACATGGTGCATGGATGTGCCTTTCCCAGGTAGCGAGTTCGTGTTTCAGTATGAGCGTGTCCGAAGAGTACGTCTGAATGCGGTTGAAGAAGGGTTGGTTGGTACAATCCAGAGCAGTATATCGAACATTCAAAATGGTTGGGTAGGGTACTGTTGCGAGTACGTACTTTTGGACCCATACCATACACCTTCATTTCATCTGATCACTTCAATCCCTTCTCTCCTTTCCAGGCAGCAGCGGAAGTGACTCAGAAGGTTCTGATTCCTTTGAAGATGCAGCACCGCTGTTCCGCAACCCAAATCATGGTGCTGGGTGGGGGAGAGGGGATAGAGGAGGGGAGGACGAGGAAGATGAGGAGGAAGATGAGGAGGAGGAGGAAGAGGAGGAAGATGAGGAGGAGGAAGAGGAGGATGAAGAGGAAGAGGAAGATGACGAGGATAGAGATGGAAGGAGGGGAAGGATGTTGTGGTAAGGTTGAGGGGAATAGGTGATGGACCAGGGGAGAGCACCAAGCAGAGACAGTGGGGGAGAGGGAGGGGCACGGGAGGCAGGCGAAGATGAGTGAAGTACAGGCAGGCATCTGAGTGGGCCACAGTACAGAGTTTCGCAGGATTGCAGTAGATTTCCAGCGCGAAACAACCTGGATACCGTATGCCACCTGGGTATTAGGCCTTCACTTCCTGCAGTCACAGCTGCATACCGGTATGTGCAGATTCTTGCTCTGTCCACTCTTAGAAACCCAAAAGACTCGGTGTAGTCTATGCAGCGAATAGTCCTGCTACTATTGTAACATTTTCAAAGCAAACAATCCATCTGAAGGAACTAAAAGTAGACTCTACTCAACACATAATCACACACACTGGTAATCCCATTTTCTAGTACTACCACAGAAGTGAATCAGCCAAACCAACCTGTCAGGCAAACAGTTTCCTAGCCTCCAAGCAAACCGCATGCGGGTTGCTCCATCGCTGCTCCATTACCCCCCCCACCTACTCTCCCCCCCCTCCCCCCTCCCGGATACAACGTCCTTGCCCTGTCCATCCAAGCTAGGGTCGCCTACGGGGAGCACGAGAAGGGTCGAGGCAGAGCTTCTTGGCTGCGTTGAACACGAGGGCCCTCGGGGCACTGGCACTGCGGTTGGCCCTCCTTCACAACGCACTGTGCACTTCCACAATCATTCTCACACATGGCTGTTGTGGGCACCACAGAGAGAGCAATCCAGGGCATGTAGAAGGGAATGAATTTCCAGGGCATGGCGAGGGGAATGAAAGAATCACGGAAAAAGAAGAGCTTGGGTGTCTCGCTCTATCTTAGGGTATGTCTCCCGTTTCATTGATTCATCAGAATGAGCAAAGCACATGCTGGGTGTGCTTGGAGATCTCTCTCATGTGCGCGTGACACTCTTTACGTGAAGAAAAAATAACACCAGCGTAACGTGCATGCGCTCGCACTTACTGATCTCGCAGCCAACTGATAGCAGCGAACGGATTCCCTTGACAGTCCTGAGAGAGGGATAGGTGAGGAGAGGGAAGAGCAAAGGTGAGGACGCGTTAGAGTCCATTCACACTACAACTACGAGACAGTGAAGCAATTTCTGGTGATAATAGAGCGGCATACCGGAACAAACCATGCAGCACACCGGAGCAATTTCTGGTGATAATAGTGCTGCAAGCACACTGGAACAAACCATGCAGTTGCATGCATAACGCACACTCACTTGATCGTGACGGGGTAGGAACTGCCCTTCTTCGCAGGTCGCGCGATAGTGAAGCGCAGCTTCTTCGTGCAGCCCGACTCGGCGTATAACGAGAGGCTCTTGCACATGGCGTTGCTGGGCGCTTCATCAACAGGCGGGGCGGGGTTGGAGGCATTCCACACGACGGTGATCTTGGCGCTGCCTTCGATGGTGACGTACAGGTTGCCGCACGCGCTGCTGCCACTCGCTTGCTCTGCCGGCAGTGGTGCCAAGAAGCTGGCGGGCACAATGCTTCTCGAGCCTCCTTGCTGCAGCGCCACTGTCGTCCGCACCAACGGGGCTGACCGGCCGTTGAGACGGACGATGCCAGATTGTGGCGGTTGAAGGTTGTGTGACGATGATGGGGGTTTGGAGGCAGGACAGGGGAGAGGAGAGGAAGGGGGCAGACAGGGGGGAAAGTGCGGGAGGAGTGAGGGGTGAACGTTCCAAGCGTTGCCTCTCAGCGGCGCCACTCAGTGCAGCCGGTTGAAATGCTGAGATGCTCAAATGCGAGTGCCTCAAGAAATGAAGTGTCTACAGCTCAGCAGTGCAGCACTCACGAAAGCACGTCTTGTCCGCCTCGTTGAAGGCAAAGCCTTCCTTGTTGCAATTGCAGAGGAATTCGGTCGGACCGAGAGTAACGCAGGAAGCCTCTACCCCACACACCCCGCCGGTACACGGGTCTGCAGAGGAAGTGATGGTGACGCAGGGAAAGCAAGTTAATTGAGTGAACTGCTGTTCATGATTGTAAACCCACCCACACGCTCTCACTCGCCCACACTCCAGCACTCACCCACGACACACGTCTTGTGGTCGTCGTCGAATACCAAACCGTCCTTGCACACGCACAGGGGTATGTCATTGTCTACATCAACGGCGCAGGTGCCTTCCCCGCAGTCCTCGTTCGCACACAGGTCTGCACAGAAGTCGTGATAGTTTCAAATAAGGGGCAGAGAGGCACACACACCAGCACACAGGCAAGGTAGGGAAAGAGGCTCAAAACGAGACAGATTCTGCTATGATTGTGAGTCGCACTCATCCACACGCCAGCATTACACGCCTACTGCCCGTGGTGTGTTTCAGTCAGCCCACTCACCATCAGCGGCGCTGGCGTGGGTCGCGAGGAAGCTGATGGCGACGAGACCCGCGACGAGTGCGGCGAGGCCACACAGGCCAGACAGGCGCGCGCAGGGCCTCGTGGCGACAGCGGACGGCGCGCAGGGCTTCATGGCGACGGGAGTCGTGGGGAAACGGGAAGTCGGGGTTTTTGAGGCGCCTCAAAAGGCCGCCAGAGGAAACGAAAAGACTGGGATCACGATGACGTCACGATGGCGGCAAGTTTCAGGCCCGAGTTGAATCGCCGGATCTGACGTCGCTGGACGTCGCGACGAGGTGAGATTGGGTGGGACCTTGAAGGTTCGAGTGAGAGGTGCGACTGAGAAGGAAGGAGACGAAGGAACGCAATGAGCGAGGAGCGGTGGGAGAATATGACTGATCCCTCGGAAGCGAGCGTCGGATTTATGTTGAGAGCGAGTGGTCAATCGCCCTTTTTAAATCTTATTCCTAGAAATTGCCTCGTGGATCGTCGCTGGGGAGTCTCGTTGCGGAAGAAGGAGAGGGGGAGGGGGAGGGGGAGGGGTGGGGGTGGGGGGGGCGAGAGGAAGCTCAGAGGAATCGCCGCTGCGCCGAGGCCCGGAAACGTGCATTCGGTCGACCTTAGGACATATCGACGATGGTGTTGGGGCTGCGAGAAGGAGTCGATCGGGGGTGTGGCGACTGTCGTCATGATGGGCACAAGGGGGAGGAACGCGAATGGATGGACGAGGGGGCGGCGATGACGGGAGGAAAGCGTTGGGGGGCGCCGCTTGCGGCTACTGAACGCGTTAAGCTGGCAAATCCGTATGGACAAGGCGGGATTCAAACTCCATGGGGTGCGCAAGGCAAAAAAGCTTCAACATCTTGTATCGAGTTGCGGGACTTGCGGAGAGTGTTTCCATTTTTGGTGGTGGTCGAACAGAATGGTCCGACGGGGGTCATACATTCTGCTCTGAGTTCGCTTGACGTGGTTGAATACGGTCAACTACGTTTGGGCACGGTTCTCGGATCTTACCGCTTTAGACCATTGCACACCGGGATAAACCATTCAGAACGAAGTTGGAACGCGTTTGGTAATGCCCACTTGTTAGACACGATTTTTTTTTCATCTACCCAAGATGTTTATGCATTGGGCAGTCCATTTACACATTTTATGCTTGAAATAAATGGACTTCTATTCTTATGTATTGTTATAAGCGGATTGACTGAGCAACAATGCGTCACTCTTAAGGAACCGAGCGAAGGCATGAGCAATCATTATAGAAGCAAATTGCAAAGGTCTCGAAAGTCTTGGGATGCTAGCTGTTATGGGTTGTAAAACAGAGTTGCGCAGAAAACGAATATCGAAGTTGTGACTCAATGAATACCATGAAGGCAAGTCATAATATAGTCACTACCCTAGCTAGGAGGACCTCAGAGATACAAGTTTGGGTGCACGTTTGGTGAAAGGAAGGCCGAATGCGACGTGGAGCAGCCTCGGAATCGTGGATGTCGGTCGAACGTGCGAAGTCCAGAAATGTTGGGGTTGTACGCGTAACAGTCAACACCGATAAGGAAAATAAAATATTTTTACACTACCCTTTCTCTAAGAAAGGTGGTCAATGTCCGGCACTCGTTTGCGAGGCGGATGGCACCCAGATGTTATTTTCTTTGGTACTGTCGGTCCAGCGGACTAAGAAGTCATCGTGGCGGCCAAAAGAGTCGAGTTGAACGCAATGGGCCAAGATCTTCAAAGGATCAAGCGTTGATTCCGGGACAGGGCGAGCTGTCGGGGCGGCATTCTGGCAAGCAATGTCCATCGTGGCCGGGACAAATTGCGAAGCAGACTTACGTGGAAAGCATCGTGCACCCGCAAGTCGTCGGGTAGTTGCAGCTTTGCGGTGACAAGTATCACCATCTTTAAGATGCGGAAAGCCCCGCAAAATCGTGGCCGGAACATGGATGAGCTTGGCAAGCAAAGGTTTTTTTTTTTTTTTTTGTCGAGCAGCACTAGTTGCCCGGCTGTCATGATCAATTCATGTCGAAGAAGATCAGAGTGTTTTCGGGCGGTGATGTTGGCCTTGTGAATTGCCTCGGCTGCTTTTACGCGGATATTCTGTAATTTGGTCTCAAAGTGTTGTGACCTTGGGACCGGGTTGTCGAGTGTAGTCGTGGTTGGTACCACCGGTCCATCCCGAAATTAAGGAAGAACGGGGAGTGATTAATCGTATTGGACGGGGCATTGTTGTACGCAAATTTCAGCATCACGAGTGAATTTTTCCAGCGAGTGGGGTGGGGCAGTTTGTGCGGATGAGCTGCTCCATCGTTTGATTGGTCGCTCGGTCTGACCGTCGGTTTGTGGATGGTAGGCCGACAAGGACTAAAGCTTCGTGCCATACTGCGCCCATGTCTCTTTTCAAGAATTCGAAGTGAACTTTGGGTCTCTATCGCTGACCATCACCGATGGAATTCCGTGTAGTCGCACTGCGGTTGAGATGAAAAGGCGCGTAGCTTCTTTGCAGTGATGCTCGTGCGACGTGGTGCAAAGTGTGCCATTTTCGTGAGGCGGTCGATGACGACGAGCACCGCGTCATTGCTGGAGGGGCCAGCTAGCAGCCCCGTAACGAAGTCCATCGTCACTTGTTGCCATGGTCGCTCAGGTGGCTCCAGGGGCTGCAGCAATCCTGCTGGCCGTTGCCGTGTCCACTTCATCGCCTGGCACACTCTGCATGAAGACACATAACGCTGCACGTCAGAAAATGAATCTGGCCAATAATACTGATGGTGGAGCATTTTCTGGGTTTTATCAACCCCGAAATGTCCAGAGAGGTTGCAATCACGGACCTCCTGGATGAGGAGTTCACGCAACAGACGGTAAGCGGGGACCCAAATCGAGTCAGTTCCGGCTTTTAGGTAATAATCCTCGTTGTGCGTCATAGCTTGCTGGTGACTCCCGGCCGTGAAGAAAGGCCCGTAGTGTAGCTGTGGGTGAATAGTCCCATAAATAGTGGGTTCGAATGGGTAATTAGTACTGTAATGGATTGAACTTTTGGCCGGGTCGTGGCGTTGGCAATGCTATTCGCCCCTTTCTTGTACGTGATGCGGTAGGTGAAATGTGACTCGATGTAGACGAGCTACCTGATTTGTTGTGGGTTGAAGCTGGGTTATGCGTGGAGATACTGCAGTGATTTATGATCTATGCGAATAGTGATGCCGACGCCTGTCAGATAGCACCATAGCACCACCAAAGCTTGAATGCATGGATGATGGCGAGCATTTCCTTGTCATGGTTCGGGTAGTTGCGCTCGGCTACCTGTAGCTTGCGTGACTTGTAGGCAATCGGTTGTAAACCGTTGCCGGAATCCTGGAGGAGTACAGCACCGATGGTGAAATATGAGGCATTGGTGATGACTTCAAAGGGCTTGGTGTCAGAACATTATAGCTTGTGCTTTTGTGTAGGCTGTAGTGGGGTAGCCCATATGGGGTACAACCCAATTAGGGTTAGTACTTGTACCCAACTCTTTCATAGTTCAACCATGGTATCGAGCAGGTTCCCTTGTGGGAACTGTTCCTAGGGCCCACCAACTCGATATTTTTTTTTCCTGCCCGGAGCGCGCTCAGCCCTAGCCCGAGTCGCGCTCCCTTCTCGACCGCGTCGCGCCGTCCTTGCGGCCCCGATCAGCGGCCCTAGCGGCCCCGTTGCCTCGCGGCCCTCGCGCCGCCCTTCCTGGCCCCGATCCGCCGCCCTGCGGCCTCGTCGCCTACCCCCGCGGCCCTCGCGCCGCCCCTACTCTCCGGCCCCGATCCCCGCCCTGCGCTGACCTCATCGCCTACCCCGCAGCCCTTGCGCCGCCTGCGGCCCTACCTGCCGCCCTTACTTGCGGCCCCTGCGCCATACCTGGCTGCCCCGCCACCTACCTGCGGCCCCCGCCACCTACCTGCGGCC